CCCTCCTGGGGCTTCATGTTACATTTACTGCATAAACGGTAAACGTCTCTGTAAATTTTTCGACTTTTCTGTGCGACGCTCATGTCAATTTTCTCATTCGCCAAAAAACACGATTCTGTGTATTCGCTCTCTCTCTCTTACCGTTCAAAAAAAGGTCTATTTCCCTATCTAATCAATTAAATCAGTATTTCCCTCCTAGTAGAGTCCACTTTTCAAGGTATTTTCTTAGCGGAGAAAATCAGTATTAACAAATTGATTATCCTACGGTGGTCCACAAGTGCAACGACAAAACAAAATAAATTTACAGCGAAATGAGACGTCACGGTAAAATATAATCAGCTCATGGCATGTATATGTACATATGTTCAGTTCAAATTTTAACGCTCAGCCACAAAACTGGATTAATCAAGAGTGTTAACAATAATCAACACTAAATCAATAACCGAGAAACAATATTTTTAAGATCCCTGTTCAGAAAGTGTTAAATTTGCACACAGTGTTTACTAGTTGAAAACATAAATACAGTGTTTGTTGTAATCTGTAACAAACAAATGTCCAGTATCAGACACGGCACAACCAAAAAGTTTGCTATTACCGTCAAAAAAACTCCCAGCTACCTTAGCGACATATTTTCCGTCAAGTGTGAACAGTTGCAGTCTTCTGTTCACCGCATCGCAAACGATCAAACGGTCAAACTGGTCAATAGCGAGACCAGTGGGACCCGAGAACTGCCCATCACCAGTTCCCTCGCTGCCAATGTCATATAGATACTCCCCTGCGATGTTAAATACCATGACACGGTCAGCTTCTGGATAAGAGACAAAACATTTGTCCTGCTGATAAACAACAAACCATGGCTCCGCATCACAACCAGGAGCACTGAACGACTGAAGTAAGTTTTTCCCATCAGGGCTGAGAACTTTGATTGTTTTGTCTTCCTTGTCACATGTGATAATGCGACCATCACTCACAACAGATATGTACCACGGTAACTTGATATGTTCATCGCTGATGCATTGAATGAATTGACCACCCTCAGTGTACAAGGGAAGCATATTGTCGTCACGAGCGTCAAAGCTAAGGAGGTCACCAGACTCGGTAAAAGCCACCGAAGACGTTCCAGCTTGCAGTGCAATCTCTCTCAGGAAAGTCCCATCAAAGCTAAACATCTGAACTCTCTTATTCATTAAATCAGCAACAGCACACGTCCTTCTTTTATCATTCACAGCAATACCCCAAGGTCTGTTAAACTGTCCTTGTTCTTTTCCTTTTGATCCAAATTGAAAAGCAAATTGATACTGATGTGGAATCACCTGCACAACCCAGGGACTACCAGTCAGCGGCTGTCCATTAACTTGGATCTCTACTCTATGTTGTCCAACACACTGTGGTGTGTATCTTACTGTGTACTTGCCGTCTTTGGTGTCTTTTAGCTCTGTTTCCAGTTGATCATCTGCTGAAGTTATAATGTTGACGTTTACTTGATCATCTTCATGATAACACTGCTTTCCACTTGAATCTCTAGTTACAATGATGAAATTTGCCACCGTTTTTTCTCTTACAAGTTCTTGATTGTCCACTTCCGCTAAAGATAGGAAAGGATCTGTATTACTAACCACAATTCGGTCCAAACCCGGATTCAGTTGATTTTCGATTATATAATGTACGTGTGGTGGTTTATAAATGCCAGGTTTTGTGACATTCAAAAGTTCTTCACAGCGTCCAACAATGATCTGATTTGTTTGAAGAATCTCAGCGCTGACGTTTCTTTCTAGTGCACTTTCACCTCGCTCAATGCAGCTTTGCAGTTGAGTCAAAACCAACTCAAAGTTTTCGAGTTGTGTCGCGTGATGTTTTTGTTGCGCTTCATAAATTTCAGCAAATTTGACTTTCATGACCCTCTCATGTTCCCGTAATTCACGGATACGTTCCTCCACGGTATCTGTCATCTTCTTTTCTGCTGACAAAATCTCATTTTTAGTTTTGTCCATTAGCTCAGTTTGTTTCCTTATTTTGCTCTCGTAAATAACAGTTTCCGCTTTCACTTTCTCCAAAGCATCCTTCATTTGCATCTTCTGTACTTGTGCGGCTTTGTGAGTGTCCGTCATGGTGTGTCGATTATGGCTTACTATACAGCACTTCTGGCAAATAAGAACTTTACATTCTTCGCAATAAAATTCCAGCGGCTGATTTTCGTGGTATTGCTGTGAACATATGGCGGGTCTGTGGATCAGCTCTTGAACATCTTGCACATTTAATTTATCTATCACAACATTGCGATGACCTCTTGTGGTTTTCAGTCGCTGATGAGCGTCATAGCAAGAAGTACAGAGGAATATTTGGCAGACAAAACAGTAAGAGGAAGCGGTATTGTTCTCATCACAACTGCTGCATTTCTGGGTCTGTGTGCCGCCATCTTTTAGAGCGAGAACATCCACCAGTCGGTTGAGATGATAAGATGCAGGCAAATTCTTGAACGAGTCGCCTTCAGGAATTTGAAAAGATGTCTGACAAACCGGACATTTGATTGTCGCTTGCAGCTGTCTTCTTGCAAAATTTGCGTGTTTGTCAAGACACTCAAGGCAGAATGAGTGAATACATGGCAAAGTCTTGGGATTATTGACTGTCTCCAAACACAGTGGGCATTCAGCTTCCTTCTTAAGAACTATAAAGAGCTGTTGAACATCCATGGTGAATCTAGAGCTGCAAGCGATGGCTCCGTGAGATCATGATTATGGGTGCGGTTTGCTAAGCTGTGTAACAAGGTAGGACTCAGTGTTATTCATTGTAATTGAAAAGCTGACATGAATCCAAGCGAAAGGGAAACACAATGAACAAAAAAAAAAGAATAAGGAAATGAACTCAATTGGTTAACTGAGGTGCAAAAAAAAAAGAAGTGATGAATTTAGGACTTGCAGTCAGTCGATGACACAGGCTTCCAAAACCTCGAGTTCACATCAGTAACTGATGAAATATACAAAAAAAACCAAACAGTAATGAATTATAAGATGTTTATGCAAATTCTTCGGTAGAGCCGGCGAATCAAACATAGTTCCTTGTGAAAGAAGCGGAAAATTGGGGGAGACACTAGCCTACCACCCTTTTAAAAGCAGCCGCCCCCAGTTTTCTTCAATTTGGTTCATACGTGCAGCAAAAGTGACCACTCCAGGAGCCCATAACCAACGAGTTAACCGCTTTCAAGTGGTCGCGTCGTGCCGTTTTCAAAGACTTGTTTATTTTTAGAATTTATTTCCTAACGCGAACTTAGAATATCGTCAACGTCCAAAAGTCAGTTAGCAAACTTACAGAACTTAAAATTTTGACGTGTTAATGACGTTTAGCAGTCTCTGCAGCTTTTTATAACCGGGCAAAGACCGGCGGAGACTAGCTTTTATTTCCCTCAGGCTCGTACGTAGCCATTTTTTTGTGTCGCCACGTCAAAGAACGGCTGCGAAGGAGACACCATTTACCTTTTCTTGCGGGAAAAATGCCTTAAAATTAGACTGGCCCCTGAAAACGCTGTTGCATGACAAGGGGCAGTATGGGAGCTGCTAGCTGCCCGGTTTTATAGCAGGGTTCCTGACGTCTGCATGCAGGCTAACCATTTTTCTCTGCCCTCACCCTAACCGTGCTTGCCCTGGTTCGAGGAAACTCTTGCCCCGCGGCCATTTTGCCAAGCTAAGGGTAGACACCTTCATTTTTTATCTGAATCGGCAGTGTGAGATCAGATATGATTGGAAGTTCTCGCCATCTGCTTGATCACTTTTCCATCCTGGCGTGGTTCTCAAAACAAACATTAACGAACTTCTTTAGTTAAGCAACAAATGACGCTGATAGTCTCGGATAGCATAACCGGAAGTTTAATGTTTAAAAAAACAAAGCTGAATGTAGCCAGCGTGGCAGGCGTTTGAAAAGGAAGCGAAAGGGAGTTTTAGGCGCGAGAGAAACGCACCCCTCGAGTTTCTCTCGCGCCTTAAACTTCCTTTCCCTTCCCTTTCAAACGCCTGGCACGCAGGCTAAGCTGAATACAGGGCTGGCACTACGGCAAAGCTTTTGCCTTACACAAAAACTGTAGAATGACGTTGTGGAGCGGAGTTCTGAGAGGGGGAACTTCTAATTAATTAAGTTAGTTTTCACTTCCGGCATGTCAATGCATAACTCAATTATTTAAAGATCTGAATGGCCAGTAGTTCTCTTGAACCGAGGTCAAAATTGGACATTTCTTGAAATAGTTTAACCAAGTTGAGAATTTCTCAAAATACAAAATGAGCAGATAAAAACAGCTCAGAAAATTCTTATGTATAAAGACTTGCGTGATACTACAATAACATATTAGATTGCATTCAACTTTTTGTCGTTTTCCATTTACGGTCAGTGCACTTGTATAGTGATTAGCTACAACATAAGATCTTTATGTGTTCTATGGTTTATGTGGCTTTTGTCTCTAATACAAACAATTGGTGACATAGTGGCTTAGCTAGAAAAAGGCGATTGAAGTCCATTTTCTCCTTTCTTTAAGTCTGTTTCCTTCTGTTTCACATTCAGCGGATCATAAACGAATGACTGTGGGATAAATACGTTTACAGAAGAAGAGAGCTAACAGCTTGATTTCATAAGAAGCCCCTAATTATATTATATCTGTTTCACTCAGATGTTTGAGTTTAAATCGATTGCTCATGCCCGGGGCAGTTTAATACCCCTTGTACGTAATTACCTGCACGTGTGGGTTTTCTTCAGGCAAATGAACGAAAGAACGACGCGATGTTTATTTTGTCATTTCCATGTAATTTCTTTGCTTACTTTAAGTTTCATAGGGATTGAGGGCGAGTAAGTGTTAAAATTAAATAAAATGAACTGGACTGCCGTGACACAGTGCCTTTAAGCCACACGTCTTTTGGCGCCGTTTATAAGTAATCAATATTATGAATGATTTATATGAATGCCGCCTGATGTGAATTTGAATCCAATGGAATTTTTCGTTCTAGTTTGTATCTTATCAACGCAATGTTTTTTTAACTGACAGGCAACTTCTTTTATGTCGTGTGGCCCTTGGTAAGCCATTTTACCAGTTTTCAGCCGTCAAGATGGCGCATGGCCCTCCAGGTCATCATTCTGTAATAGGACGTCCCAGCTCAGAAGGGCTGTCGTTTGCCGAATATGTTGTGTATAGAGGGGAACAGGTATGTCTTGCTTTTTAGAGCTGTATTTTCTTTTCTCGTTGCCCTTGTGGCTGTCGTTTAAGAGAATACTAGTAGCGACCTTCAAATTTGACTACTTCCGCCGTTGATTATATTGGGTGCGACTTTGGCCTCCATTTTTTAGCCAGTTGACAAAAGCTAAATTTACATGCAACAAAATCTTCATACCGTAAACCCTGCACCGTGAGGTTTGCTAATTTGTGAACGTATCAAAGTCGTCTTTCGTGAGAAATTCGTAATTTCCTTTACTTTCGAGGGTTTTAGTGTTGTCCGCGGAGAACAGGCACTCCACTGACATAAAGCATAGATATTTTGAGCGACACACGTCAACCGGAAGTGAGTCCTTTACCCTTTTAATATGCCTGGACAGACACTACCAAAATTGTGTGTTCACTGTTATAGGGACGAGCTGCGTTACAATTTGGCCAAAACCACTGTCCAAGAGTGCAAAAAGTCCAGCTCGGTTGACCTTGTTGATTTGTGCTATTCAAAAAATACAGATACAGCATTTGGTTATGATAATACGATGCCAGTGTCTTTTTAAAAAACTGTATGTGCCATTTGGTTAATTATCTCATGACGCACTTCGTCCTTGTTTCCTATGTTGTTTACAGGCCTATCCAGAATACTTGATCACTTACAAGATTGTTAAACCCTTCAACGTTGAGGCATCTCCATAAATTCCTTGTACATCACTACCAACTAAGAATCTGAATGGCTGAGATAGCTGTGAATATCTACATAACCGCATAAGCGTCACAACCCCGTTTAAAGAAATGCGTGACCCCTACTAAAGGGTTTAACAGCTACTTGGAGCAACCAGAAACGTGATGAGAGAGAAGGGACAAGAGATAGGATTTCCCAAGAAAGACTATTAAGCTTACAACGAGGATGAGATTGAACTATAACTGGCCGCAGTTGTTCAAAAGCTGGATAGCACTATCCACCGGATAAATCCTTATCCAGTGGATAAATGTCCTAGTGGATAGAGATCGATTTATCCGGTGAATTCTGCTGAATAGCGTTAACCACCTTGTGAACAACCTGCAGCTGGCTTATATACTTCAGAGCTGATTATGGCTTTTAAAGAAAAACACCAAATATGATGGTAACAACTGATTAATCATGAATATTATACTTGTATATTATGGCAGAATAATTTGATATGATCTATTGTAAGTAGAAATCAGTTAATGCAAAACAAAAAAAAGATTATTCAACCGCATATCCTGAGAAAGACAAGTTTTTACAATTGGATCGATCCTGGTGTTTGCATACTAGACGCGTGACTTCTCGCGACTCCTCCTTCAAAAGGAGAGCTTCTTGGCAGGCTATTTATATAGTGTATAGAACCACAAACTGTACTTTCAGCTGGTTATCATCCGCGCTAAATGAAAAACTTTTTAATAATTGGTAAAGCCCAGCGAAAGGGAATTTAGACTAAAATGTTATCTAAAGCCTTACTTGACATTACTTTGAAAAATAAGTTTACATGGTGGTCAAAGTGTCTAAGTTGCATCGAAGTTGATTTTCTTTCTGTGTTTTTTTACTAGTTTGGCCCTGACTGTTGGGGATTTCTTGCAACAGTGACACCTGTCACTCACCTCTTATTTAGACAATCTACTTTTCCAAAGTTAACGCTGTTCCTTTACCGTTGTTTGTTTATCACTTATCTGTCCTTTTGCTTTATTTATACATGTAGATGTGTAAATATATCAACTATTTCATATAACTCAATGTTATAAACGAGCCTTTTTTATACCAATATCAAAATGCTAGAGCAACGTTTGTCTGTGTGTTTGTTTGTTTGAAAGTAGATTTAAATCGTGTATTGTTGATATCAAGGACGTTCAACTCCGTCAACTTTTTGCGTGCGACCTATAGCTACATCATGGAAATACACTTCAACATTATCTTGTCGACGTTATGATGAAACAAAAAAGCTTTTTTGTACAGTATTCGTTCTTTGCCATTGAATAGACAGCGAAATTTACTGAGAATAAAGGACTGCCGGCCATTTAGTGTTTTGAAAACTTTGACCGGCAGTCGAGCTGAAAAAAGTTTTAAAGTGTCACAAAACACGGTTTCGTCTTCTGAGCCCAGCGTAAACCAAACACTAGACTTGAGATCTATGAAGCATTGCAGGATCGCTTGACTTGTCTTAATCGACGTATGATATTTTAGATTACCTAGAATCTTTCGATTTTGTGAAATTTACTGATAATATAGGACTGCCGGCCATTTAGTGTTTTGAAAACCTTGACAGGTTACCGACCATATAGCCACAGCGATACTTTTAAGATCCCTGTTCAGAAAGTGTTAAATTTGCACACAGCGCTTACTAGTTGAAAACATAAATACAGTGTTTGTTGTCATCTGTAACAAACAAATGTCCAGTATTAGATACGGCACAACCAGCAAGATGACTATTATGGTCAAAAACACTCCCGGCTACTTTAGCGAGATATTTTCCGTCAGGAGTGAAAAGTTGCAGTCTTCTGTTTCCCCTATCGCAAACGATCAAACGGTTAAACTTGTCAATAGCGAGATAAGTGGGAAACGCGAACTGCCCCTCACCAGATCCCTCACTGCCAATGTCATATAGATACTCCCCTGCGTTGTTAAATACCATGACACGGTTAGCTTCTAAATAAGAGACAAAAAATTTGTCCTGCTGATTAACAGAACACCATGGTCTCGTATCACAACCAGGAGCACTGAACGACTGAAGTAAGTTTTTCCCATCAGGGCTGAGAACTTTGATTTTTTTGTCACCAAAGTCACATGTGATTATGCGACCATCACCCCCAACAGATATGTACCACGGGCTCTTGACATGTTCATCGCTGATGTATCGAATGAATTGAGCACCCTCAGTGTACAAGGGAAGTTTATTGTCGGCACCAGAGACACAGCTAAGGAGGTCACCAGACTCGGTAAAAGCCACCGAACACGAGCCAGCTTGCAGTGCAATCTCTCTCAGGAAAGTCCCATCAAAGCTAAACATCTGAACTCTCTTCTTGTTTAAATCAGCAACAGCAAGTGTTCTAGTTTTATCATTCACAGCAATACCCCAAGGCCAGTCAAACTGTCGTTGCTCTTTTCCTTTTGATCCAAATTGAAACGCAAATTGATACTGATGCGGAATCACCTGCACAACCCAGGGACTACCAGTCAGCGGCTGTCCATTAACTTGGATCTCTACTCTATGTTGTCCAACACACTGTGGTGTGTATGTCACTGTGTACTTGCCGCCTTTGGTGTCTTTTATCTCTGTTTCCAGTTGATCATCTGCTGGAGTTATAATGTTGACTTTTACTTGATCGTCTACATGATAACACTGCTTTCCACTTGAATCTCTAGTTACAATAATGAAATTTGCCACCGTTTTCTCTCTTACAAGTTCTTGATTGTCCACTTCCGCTAAGGAAAGCAAAGGATCTGTATTACTAACCACAATTCGGTCCAAACCCGGGTTCAGTTGATTTTCGACAATGTAATTCACGTGGGGTGGTTTATAAATGTCAGGTTTTGTTACATTCAAAAGTTCTTCACAGCGTCCAACAATGATCTGATTTGTTTGAAGAATCTCAGCGCTGACGTTTCTTTCTAGTGCGCTTTCACCTCGCTCAATGCAGCTTTGCAGTTGAGTCAGAACCAACCCAAAGTTTTCTAGTTGTGTCGCGTGATGTTTTTGTTGCGCTTCATAAATTTCAGCAAATTTGGCTTTCATGACCCTCTCATGTTCCCGTAATTCACGGATACGTTCCTCCACGGTATCTGCCATCTTCTTTTCTGCTGACAAAATCTCATTTTTGGTTTTGTCCATTAGCTCAGTTTGTTTCCTAATTTCGTTCTCGTAAATTACAGTTTCCGCTTTCACTTTCTCCAANGTCAGGTTTTGTTACATTCAAAAGTTCTTCACAGCGTCCAACAATGATCTGATTTGTTTGAAGAATCTCAGCGCTGACGTTTCTTTCTAGTGCGCTTTCACCTCGCTCAATGCAGCTTTGCAGTTGAGTCAGAACCAACCCAAAGTTTTCTAGTTGTGTCGCGTGATGTTTTTGTTGCGCTTCATAAATTTCAGCAAATTTGGCTTTCATGACCCTCTCATGTTCCCGTAATTCACGGATACGTTCCTCCACGGTATCTGCCATCTTCTTTTCTGCTGACAAAATCTCATTTTTGGTTTTGTCCATTAGCTCAGTTTGTTTCCTAATTTCGTTCTCGTAAATTACAGTTTCCGCTTTCACTTTCTCCAAAGCGTCCTTCATTTGCATCTTCTGTTCTTGTGCGGCTTTTTGAGTGTCTGTTATGGTGTGTCGATTATGGCTCACTACACTACATTTGTGGCAAATAAGAACTTTACATTCTTCGCAATAAAATTCCAGCTGCTGATTTTCGTGATATTGCTGTGAACACATGGCGGGTCTGAGGATCAACTCTTGAACATCTTGCACATTTAATTTCTCCATCACAACATTGCGATGACCTCTTGTGCTCTTCAGGCGCTGATGAGCTTCAAAACAAGAAGTGCAGAGGAATATTTGGCAGACGAAACAGTAAGAGGAAGCAGTGTTGTTCTCATCACAGTTGCTGCATTGCTGGGCCTGTGTGCCGCCATCTTTTAGAGCGAGAACATCCACCAATCGGTTGAGATGATAAGATGCAGGCAAATTCTTGAACGAGTCTCCTTCTGGGATTTTAAAAGATGTCTGACAAACCGGACATTTGATTGTCGCTTGTAGTTGTCTTCTTGCGAAGCCTGCATGTTTATCGAGACACTCGAGGCAAAATGAGTGAAGACATGGCAAAGTCTTGGGTTTATTGACTGTGTCCAAACACAGTGGGCATTCAGCTTCCTTCTTAAGAATTGTAAAGAGCTGTTGAACATCCATGATGAATCTAGAGCAGCCAAGCGATGGCTTCGTGTGATCAGGTGATTATGGGTGCGGTTTGCTAAGCATAGTGTAACCACAGGTAGCCCAAGCTCACTTGTCTCCATGTCGCAAATGTCACGGAATTTATCGCCGCCGAGAGCGGAGCCGGTCAAGAGAGGTTTGCCAACCGGGAGAGTTGAAAAAACTGACCCCCACTCCGCGGACTACCCACTGACCCCACTCCGCGGACTACTCTACGGACTACTCCGCGGACTACCATGCGGACTACCCTAACTAATCAACCAAATTTACTTTCACGGAGAAAAGAGTTAGAAGAAGCGTACCTGCCTACAAGATCACACTTGATAAACAGCCGCCATCTTGATTTTCGCCATTTTACTCGACCCAGCTCTCCTTTAGCCTCGCCCCAGTCTTCATCGGCCACAAGTCAGAGCACGCCGTTCAGCCAATCGATGACCACTATTGGCGCTGGTAACAGTTTTTGTTATATTCAGCTTAAAAATGTTTTTAAGAACTTACTTATAGCCGTGCTTGGAAGTCACCATATTTTTGGATTCACCTGGCCCACAAGGCCCTTGGAGACGTATTCTCCTACGTAGGGCACGCAGTCGTTATTTGGATCGTCACGCGAGGTTTGGAGAGAAGCGTTGCGTGACGATCCAAGAACGGAAGCTGCAATGGACGTAGCAATGAAGAAGAAGGGCTGGGTCGAGTAAAATGGCGAAAATCAAGATGGCGGCTGTTTATCAAGTGTGATCTTGTAGGCAGGTACGCTTCTTCTAACTCTTTTCTCCGTGAAAGTAAATTTGGTTGATTAGTTAGGGTAGTCCGCATGGTAGTTCGCGGACTAGTCCGTAGAGTAGTCCGCGGAGTAGTCCGTAGAGTAGTCCGCGGAGTGGGGTCAGTGGGTAGTCCGCGGAGTGGGGGTCAGTTTTTTCAACTCTCCCTTTGCCAACCTTCTCTTCTCTTCTCTCTACTGTCATCTAGGTGAAAAACTGTCGCTCCAAAAAAGGCCTTAAACAGTGCCTAGGAGGTCTGAAATGCAGTCAGAATACAAAGAAAAACAAGAAGACGCTAAAGGTAAGCTTCAAAGCGATATTCAATGTACATTTTGCTAATTTAGTGAGCAAAGAATATTTCTCCATACAACGTCTTATAATTTTCTTGCTGTATGAATAATTAATTAGCTAAGTAGGATAATGTTGTTCACGGCTCTCATAGTGAGCTTGGGCTACCTGTGGTGTAACAAGATAGGACTCAGTGTTTTTTTAGTGATACACCTTCTCCTGAGCTACCATTGTATAACTGACATGAATGCAAGCGAAGCGAAACACAATGAACAGAAAAAAGAATAAGGAAATGAAGTCTATTGGTTAACTGAGGTGAAAAAAAAAAGAAAAAGAAAAAGAACTGGCCTTGGTTGTTTAAACGTTGGATAGCGCTATCCAGCGGATAAGTATTCGGGAAACCGATAAAGCCATCCACTGTTTAACGTTTGAACAACCGGATCCTGATGAATTTAGGACGTGAAATCAGTCGACTGTACAGGTATCCCAAGCTCGCGTCCGCATCAGTAACTTTTGAAATGTTTATACAAAAATAAGCAGTAATGAATTATGAGACGTTTATGGCAATTATTCGGCAGAGCCGGCGAATCAAATACGGTTCCCGTGGAAGAAAAGCTCGAAAGTTGGGGCGACAGTAACCCAACCACCATTTTAAGATCTTTTAAAAGGAGCGACCCCCAACTTCCTTGAATTTGGTTTATAGGCGTGCAACGAAAAAGGAGCCAGGAGCCCATAACCCTGTAGTTAACCGCTTTCAAGTACCCGCGTCATATCGTTTTCACAGACGAGTTTATTTTTGGAATATCGTCAATGTCCAAAAATCAGTTAGTAAAACTAACAGAACCTAAAATTTGACGTGTTAATGACGTTTAGCAGTCTCTTGCGTTTCATAACTTGAGTCTTCAGGAATGCGGCGACCGGCGGACAGAAGCTTTCATTTTCTTCAGCCATTTTTGTGTAGCCACGTCAAAGAACGGCTGCAAAGGAGACACCGTTTATCTTTTTTCGCGGGGAAAATGCCTAAAATTAGACTGGCCCCTGAAATCGCTGTTGCATGACAAGGCACCAGTGTGGGTGCTGCTAGCTGCCCAGGTATAGGGGGCTCCTGTCTACATGCAGGCTAATTTTTTTCCCTGCCCACGCTCTAACCATGCTTGGGAACACTAGTATGAAATGTCATACGGTCTCCACCCCGTAACCCGTGGGGGGCGTGGGTTAGGGAGTGGACACGTATGAAATTTCAGACTAGGAAACGTTATAACGCTCGAAATTCAGACGTTTCTCTCCCCGCCCTCCCTCCTCTCCATGGGTTAGAGGGTGGAGACGCATGACAAAGGAAACTCTTGCCAAGCAGCCAATTTGCAAAACTTAAGGTAGACACCTTCATTTTTTTTCTGAATGAGAAGTGCTTGATCAAATATGATTGGAAGTTCTAGGCATCTATTTACACCGCAACGACAAACTAGTGAGGGATAGCCGGAAACCAGCCTCTTCAGTTAAGGAACAAAGATGCTGAGAGTCCCGGATAGCATGACAGGAAGTCAAGGCAATGTTTCGTTGGATGAAATGCTTCTGCGTTACCCAAAAGCTGTAGAATGAGGTTGTGGAGCGGAGTGCTGAAAGAGGGAAATGATCAACTTCCGGTTAAGTTATTTTTGACTTCCGGCAAGTCAACGCACAACTCACTTATTTAAAGGTGTGAATGTCCACCAGTTCTCTTAAACCGTGGTCAAAATTAGACATTTGTTGAAATAGTTTTGATAAGCAAGAAATAAAGTTCACCTCCAGGCAATGCGCATGAAGGCGCACGAGGTTATTTCGGAAGAGACTGGGTAGAGCGCGGGGAAGACCGTGGAGACTGGATCGAGTGAAAAAGGCGGTCAAATTACAAAATGGAGTCTCGGTCAGATGAATCAGAACCTTCTTACATGGTTGTAAACAAACAGCTTCAGGACGTTATACGCTTTCAACACACTGTTATAGCTCGATTGAAAGCTAAGGTAAGTGCTCATGAAATCCATTTATGACATTTTCGTAGATAAAACTAATTCGAATGGGTACTAATCATGAATGGAAACTCCGAAAGAGCTTGGGCTAATTAAGGAGGCTCGCTAAACTGTGTGAACATATTTAAGCTTTTTATATGGTTAATTAGGTTAAATCTCTTTGCAGTATTGTGACCTTAGATAAAATCCATTACTTCTCTACCATTCATACTGACTGAAGAAGAAGCGCTGGAGTAGTGAATTTTATATATCGGTACACAAAGTGATGTACATGTTACAGGCAGTACAGGTCAAATTTGAGGTTTCAGGGCCCAGTTTAGCGCTTAACCGGGGGGTTAAATTTAACCCTGATTTCCTTTTCTTGTGTTCAAAAGCATTTTCTTGGATAATTTTCTCTGTTATTTTTAGAGCTTCCAATCATCAACTTGTAGACAAAAAGAATTAAAGCTGAAATACTTTTTAAGGTTTCAAATCTGAATTCAAATCTCACACTAACCGTGGGTTATCTTAAGCCAGCTTCAAACAACTCGGCCAAGGGTTAATAAGCTTACAGTGGAACCTCCCGTAAGTGACCACCCAAAAGGCTGAGTGGTTGCTTACGGAGGGGGACATTGGGGGGGTCTGAACACCGCAACACCGCAAAAAATTTTGCCGAACACCGCATCACCGCAAGAAAAGTCGCTGGATCACCGTCACCCCAATATCTATTTTCAGTCTGATGATTTTAGGGTCAGTAGAAGATAAAGCTTTCAAGATTTTGCCTTTGACCTTAAGAAAATCTCTGAAACAACACATAACGAGGCCAAAGCTGTAGTTACTCTGCCTATTTGACCCATTTGAGAAAGTAGACAAATATAGGTCAAATAGTGATCCAAACAGCGTCTTAAAGGTCCCAGAAGATCGAACGACCTTGGAGTGGGTTTAGACAGATATCAGATTGACCTCCGTACGACCTTATACAGTTAAGACTAGCTACGATGTTCAGATACAGAGACAATGTGTGTTACTTACCAAATGCATTCTACAAACTTCGTGAGTCTCTTTTCCTCCTTGTTTATGGAGCATCGAAATTTGTTTTTCCACCTATAGTCTTCTCCACCTTTGCCCTCCTCGTAAAAAAAAGCTACGCAATGAACTACGCATTCAGGATCGACAGGATCAGCTGCGTCAGTCGCAAGGTTTTCGCTCATCTTGCCTGATGGACGTACATGTGGTGATCCGGGTCGCGAAGGTCACGTTGCTTATCAAGTTACTTAGTATAAATGAAAAACAGGCTTAGGATTGGTGACGGGCAGCGTATTTAATATTAACTAGAGAGTATTAGAGGACCCTTAGAGTGTATTTTATTTCAAATCAAACATGATGGAGGCTAAATTTAGAACTGACAAGCTTCAAAATGGAAACTGCGACACCGCAGATAACTTCGTTTCACTGAACACCGCAGACTTTAAGACGCAAACATCGCACACCGTGAGGTTTAAGAACACCGCAACACCGCAAGCTGAGATTTTATTCACCGCAACACCGCATGAAAAAATGCCCAACACCGCAACACTGCAAATCCCCGATGTCCCCCTCCTTAGGGGAGGTGGTTGTATACAAGAATCAAACCACAGGGACCTTTTCTGAGAAGAGGTCCAGGTGGTCCAGGCACATCTACTTTATGGAAGATAGTTGCTGAAAAGATGTCTCTCGTCAAGCTTGTGGGTTTTTTGCTTCTTTGTTGTGCTATTAGGAATAATTGCCCCTGGACTCAGTCATGATAAGACGACTAAAGGCAAAAGCGGACTAATCTGGAATTCTAACTTAGAAGAAAGAACTTTCAACGAAGAAAACCTAGGTTTTTGCCATGGCTACAGGTGGTGCCATCTTGTATTATAAGTGAAGCCGAAATGTTGCAATAGATAATTATCTGTCAGCAAGAGTGAGGTATTACAATAACTCTGATGTGTCCTTCCAACTTTAATGCCTGTTATCATGTGGTGATATAGAAAGTAACCCTGGTCCAGCAAATGGTGGAGTGAATTGCTCAATTTGTCCAAATAAAAAACAGAAGAGTTGTAAGCCTAAGTGTGCTGGATGTGATAGAGCTATTGCCAAGAACCATAGAGAAGTCTGTTGTGACCAGTGTCAGTACCACTATCATATTAAGCGTGCTTATGTGACAGTGAGAGGGTATCGTCTAATGCAACGTGGATAGATCAGTACCAAGTGTCTCTTTAGTGTTTTGCCCAATGCCGAGGCCTGTTTTTCAGATACTGATCTTGACATAGATATTTTCACAGTGACTGATCAGGGAGAAAGTGGAATTACACTTAACACATCTACTGGTTCCAACCTGCTAAGTGCAGCAAGGCAAAAAAATGTCAAGGGCATGTTATTGTCACCTAAATATAAACAGTATTCAGAAAAAAATTGATGAGTGAAAAGATACTTTTATTATCAAGAATAAGGTGCAAATAATGGCTGTTGGTGAGACTAAAATTGATTGCTCATACCCAGACTCCCAGTTCCTAATACGAGGGTACTACTTGCACCAAAATGATCAAAAAAAGGGTGGAGGTGGTGTTCTCCTGTTTGTCTCATCTAAGATACTCTCCAGGAGAGTCACATTTAACAGGAGTTATAAAACTATTGAGCCTTTGGCCTTAGAGTTTGGCCTCAAATCAAGAAATGTGATTATACTGGTTATCTACAGATTGCCTAAGAGGCTCAACTGGTACATACAGACTTCTACTAGAGGAGGAATTAAGTCATATTGCCAACAAACTGGGCTCGCCTTCAATATTCAAGGGTTATAATTACAGGTGACCTAAACCTGAACAGGATGGAACCCAGCAGCTCTTAAGGAAAACTTCTTCTTGATCTTAAGGTGGAACAGGGCCTTAAATGTATGATAACCAAACCCAGTTGGAAAGAAATGAGAGGCTCTCTTGTCACTAAAAGCTTGATCGATGTTATTCTCACTAACCATCCGGAACTATTTGAGGACTGTGGGGTCCATGATCCTGCGCTCAGTGACCACGGACTTGCTTATGGATTCCTGAATGAGATGGTAAAACACCAGAAACGCAAGATTGTAAGATTTAAATCTCTAAAGAATTTTGATGTGGAGAAATAAGAAGATTTAATGTATGCTCTGTGGTATGTGATTAAAATTTTTTCAGTTCATGTGATGACCAGGCAAATTTTATGGAAATGCTCCTGTCCAGTATTGTCAATACACCATGCCCACGAAGAAGATGCGGGTTAGGGCTTAGGATGTTCCATACATGATGTCATGACTAGAGAATGGAAAGGTGCCATAAGAGCTAAGAGGAGGGCGGCAAGAAAGTATCTCAAGGAACAAACCAGTGAGAACTGGGAAGGTAGGCAGATAGTCAGAAACGAAGCCACCCAACTCCAGAGAAAGGCAGTAAGGACATATTGAAAAGAGCAAGCCACTAAGCTTAGGTGCAAGCCAAGTGATTTCTATAAGACATTCATGCCTTTTTTGTCTGATAAGCACAAGGCTAACACAAATGAGCTCAGCCTAAGTATCAATGGGACCATCTGTAGAGATCAGTATGCGGTTTCTAATCACTTGTGTGAATATTTTACTACTGTGGCTGATGGGATTGGAGATACCAGTGTGGTTGAGTATTATGTAGAATATGACAGAATATTAAGGCTTCCAGTTTCAGAATCTTCAGAGTTTTGAAGTTGAAAAGGTGCTACAATATCTCAATGTGAGGAAGAGTACAGGCTGGGACTGCATCCCTCCCATGGCACTCAAGCTTGGAGCTACAGAGCTGGCAAATCTCTTAACGTCATTATTTAATTTATGTATAAATCTTGGAGAATGGCCCATCTGATGGAAAAAGGGTGAATGTTTTTAAGAAGGATGATCCTCATGAAAAGAGAAACTACAGACCTATAATTGTACAAGTTACTGTAAGCAAACTCTTTGAACAATTACTCAGCATTGGGCAAGCAACTCAGTTATGGTTTTGAAATAACAAGTTGTGCGACAAACTAACAGCCTACAGGAAAAACAATAGCTGTGAGACAGCTCTCTTGTCTTTGACTGAGAATTGGAAATTAGCTCTGGATGAGCATAAAGTTGTGGGTATTCTCTTCGCTGACATGAGCAAAGCTTTTGATCACTGTACCATCCACTTACACTTGCCAAACTTAGAGCTTATGGTGTCGAGGAAACAGTCTGCAAATGGTGGGCTCGTACTTCACAGACTGTTATAACATGGTCGAGCTAGGATCTGTAGTGAGTGAGTGGCAGATGGTGACCAGGGGATGCCCACAGGGCTCTACATTTTGGACCTATCATTTGGAACATCTTCCTAAATGATTGGACTTAAAGTGTTGATGCAAACATGAATATGTATGCCAATGACCACCAGTTTTATGCTAATGGCAGCACCCTCGCTGATGTGCATGATGATCTCGCTGTTTGTGCTGAGTTAGCATCTTCACGGTACAGAGCTAATTTTCTAAAAGGAAACTTGGACAAGTACCAGACAAATTATGGTACTTGGTAGCAGAAAGGAGTTTATGCACAGTATTCTGATTAATAATCATGAAGTCAGATCCACTGAATGTCTCAAACTATTAGGTGTCTGTATTGATAAAAACAATTTGCGTTTTGATGAACATATAAATAGTATCTCTAAGAAGAGCAGCCAGTGGGTAGGTGTTCTCAAGAGGCTTAGGAACCTTATACCCACTCAAACTAAGTTACAGTTATATAAGGCAGCTGTTCTCCCGTATTTAACATACTGTCATCTCATAGCATTTTAGCCATGCTAGTGACCCTAGACGATTAGGGCGTTTCCAAGAAAGAGCACGTTAGGGCTATATATTGTGATAAACATTCCATCCTATGGTTAATTAATATCTATGGCTGGGCTATCTACTCTACAAAACCTGCGACTACAGGACATAGCTATTCTCATGTATAAAATTAAACACAACATGTGCCCTACATACATAAGCACTCTATTTGAACAGCCTGCAATATTAAGTATAAATTGTGCAATCATGACTTCACTATACCACAATTTAACACGGTCTCCTTTGGAAAGCACTCGCTTAGGTATATGGGCCAAAGGTATGGAGCTTTGTTCCTAGTAAAGTCAAAGAAGCTTCCACATTGTCATCTTTCAAATGTCACATCAGAACAGTGGATCTTAGTATGCTGTTATGATTAGAGACAATAACTGCTCAAACTGCTCTCTTTGCCATTCCTAATTTAATATGATTATAGCTACATTTTTTTAACATATAATTTGTATATACAGTGTTGTTCTCCCGAATTCTTATTTGCACATACTGTATATAGTTATTCCTAATTTCTTATAATTAATTTAATTAATTTATTTATTCTTTTCAACTTATTTTAGTGTCCCCACTCAGTGGTTCTACACTGCTATTACAGTTTGACACTTAAATAAAGGTATCATCATCATCATCAAAAAAAACTAATTACGAGAGAATGACTGGAGAACTGACAATTTGACTAACAACAGACGACTGTTTAACTGTGAGAATAGACGGATTGAGACGCACCAATTACTGATTACAAGTCTTCATAGCCAATAACATGAAGGCTTAAATGACAGACGACCAATAACATCACGACATAATTGACCAATCAGATCAATAACCACAGTATAATACCATTAACTGAGGTGATACAACTCACTTTGACTCTGAAGATGACTACTGCACAGCTTATCGAAATGTCAGTCACTGTCATCAACAACAGTCCTATTCAGGACTACGTTCACCTGCACGATCAAACTCAACCTACTTTTGAAATGACTCCTGGGTTCAAACCTTTCACATCATCATCATTTATTGCATGCAATGTCTAAGTTACGACATGTGTAGTTCAATGTTGTCACTTAAGTTCTATATAATTCTAATTTAAGTAGCATAGTGCATACAGCAACCATACAGATCAGAGAATGGAAAATCATTAACTGTCAGGACCAAAAAGTGGTCATGGTCACTTACAGGAGGTGTTCGTCTACTAGAGGTTCCAACATTACTGTAAGGCATTAAAAAATTTTGGTGTTTTGGATTGGCGGCCGTTTAAGGGAGGTGGTCCTACGAGAGAAACTGTTTATTAGAAATATAAAGAAGAAAAGTAGCATTTGTGACTTAAATAAATATACCCAAAAAGGTGGTTGAACTAAAATCCTCAAATAGTCAAGCTGTAGCCGGCAAGTACTGTTCATTGTATAAAACAAGACAGTAGATTCCATGTTGGGTTGAGTCTGTTCAGTAATAGATCAAAATGAATGATAAACAGACAACCGACGAGCTTAACATGGGTATTTCAAGATAAATTTCATATCACAATGGAACCGTTTTGTCAAACATATTATTGCATTGATGGTGCAATACACTAGGATCATACAATACTTTTCTAGGCCTTTCTACCTCAGCTTTCGCTGACAAAGAAAGTGACTTTTCCTTTAAACCCTTCAAATAAAGCATTGATTGTTTTTCGTCTATGTAGTTTTGTGCGAACTGGTCACAATGGCGAGAAGCATCTTCTTAGATGGATGCAAAAAAATACTATGGGGTAGGGTGGTGATGGAGCGAAAACCACACATATCTTTCTAAGCATATGTAATAAAAATATTCTTTATAGAAATATCTATAGATATCTAAATACGCATATTTTTAAGTGAAATATTGAAAAAGTAACGATGTTAATGTGTTATAGAAAAATTGACAAATGTCCCACCAATTCCCTACTGCCGGGACTGACAATATGACAAATGCCAGAAAAATGCCCAACAAATGCCCCTGGGGTGAGAAAGGGCATGGTTGGAAATAATATTGACTGAGCCATTAACCTTATGGGAACATTTTAAATTTGTCTTAGATGTCAAGAAGTGATAACCGTGTGTCACGTGAAGAGTATGAAAAACTAGCAAGGGAGTTGGAGGTATGGTAAATAGTTTTCTTTCTTAGAAATAATAGATTAAGTTGATGAAAGATGTAGCTATCTGCAGGAGGAGAAAGAATTTTGTAATGAAGAATTTTTGGGAGAGTGAATCCACTAAAGAGAAGAAGGTAGAATGTTTAGAGTTTAGTTGAGTTTTTGAGACAGCAATTAAAGCAATTTTGCAGGTGCGACAATTTTGCAGAGGGGAAGAGATGACAAAATGTAGATGGTACCAAATCTTCAACCTGTACCAATAATTCTGAACTGCTTAAATCTAGGTTTTGTAAATGACTAACTTTATCATCTGGATGCAATCAATGGACACCTCCCTCTTTCAAACAGTTCCGTAGGTCCCAAAGATGGTCTAAACTTCATACGATGAACCCAGTTAATTTTATAATACAAACACTTGTCCTGATCAGTGATGCTGATGGTGTACATGTATTATATAAACTTGCACTAAATTTTGATCAGGTTATTTTGTGTGTGACAAAATCTTTTAATTCTCTAGGAAGAAAAACTTGAACATATAAGAACAAAAGCCAAACTTGCTAGTGAGAGTGAGAAGTTACAGTTTGCATTGGGAGAAATAGATATTTTAAACAAGCAAATTCAAAGAGAAAAAGTAACATTTGAGAATGCGTAAGTATCGTTACTTTTTTAAAAATTCCAACAGTCTTTCAAACAAGGTTATTAATGGATGGTATTTGGATAATTAAATGGTATATTAAAGGAACAGTATCCTATTACTGCGCATGCACCAAACTTTGATTTTTGGACAGGATGTCGCGAAATCAAAAGATGCGAGGAGAGTAAGAGAATCTTGAAAAATCCGTTTGCATCGCGCTTGGCCGGGTTCAATACGACACTAAAACTTCTCAGGATTATAGATCAATGATATATTGTTCCTGTTAAGTTTCTATTTGGGCAAAATCTGGATGTTTTGTCGTTACTTTTATTGCCGTTGGCCGGAGGACCAAAAGATTTGAAGCACTTTGATGCAGATTGAAGGCTTATTTCTTCTGCTAGCTTCCATACAAGCTCAGATAATTGTGAAAGGAATACGCAGAAATGAAACAGCAACAATAAAGACTGTAACAAAGAAACCGTTGAGACATTGATGTGACTGAGGAGATCTTGTGGAGGGGAGCTTCATGATGCAGACCGTCGTTTTGCAACGACGCGTTAGTAAACTTTTCAATGAATCTCCCTACGGCCGACAAAATCGAACAAACAGGCGCTACACGTTTTGAAAAACTAGTAACATGAATCATAATATCATTCTTGACTAACCTTTGTGATGATTCATAGCGTTGAGATTGCATTTTTATTTATGTCTCTCAAACGTTTGAGGCTAGAACGCGAGCAAATCAGGCAGATATTACTGGACTTGGAGCGATTGACCTCTGACACGAGTTTCAAATTAGAAAATATGTTTTTAAAGCGAGCGGAACGAGATTTTCGGGTCGCGAGGCGGCCCAGCTAGCGATAAAATCGCGATGAGTCTTCGAACCGCGAGCCAAATTTTTATATAAGACGAAAGACTTCTTCGAAAGTCTAAAATATTACTTGAGAATATAAACAACAAATCTCTGTCGGCGGTGCGGTCCGGAAGGAAATCTTGTCAAGTCAATTTGACAGTTCTATTGTCTTTTGAAGAAAAAACAGAGGACACTCGCGCGTGCGCATAATCGGGACACTGTCCCTTTAAACGTGTTTGTTGTTTGTTGTTTTTGAGAAGAAGGTAAACAAACTGCAATTTGCAAGACTAAAGATCCCTACCTTTATTCCAGATAGAAATAAAATTAAATGGTATATAACACAAATCCTGGAATTATCAAGAGAGGTTGTGAGGGTCTTCAAACCAAAACTCCTGTCAGTGATTCTTCATTCTGGCTTATAGTGCTCATGAATCCTGAAATGATGCAGACTGAAATGCATTTTAGTCACGGAACAGCTAAAATTTCATTTCGTGGAGGATACTAAAATAATTGATATATTTGTTGTGATTCAATATTAACTTTTGTTCAAATTTTATTAATTCCTTTGTTTTGGGGTATGGTATTAATGTATGATAATGAGTTTAAAACAAAGGAAAATAGATTTAAACCAAGGATAAAATTGAACCAAAATATATTTGTTAAATAAATAAATGAAGGTACCGGTATTTTACTTATTTAACAGGTAATTTTATCATGAATCCGCACTTACAGAGTGTGATAGTTACCAACCTCCTGTGGCTTTATATTTTACTTGTAGCTGGTTAGAGTGCTGCACATCGCCCCCCCCCCCACCACACCCAACTCACAGTGTGATGGATTCAAGCCCAAATTTTAAATTTTCCCCATTTATTAACCTGGTCTCAATTTTTTCTTCTTTTTGTTGACTTTTTAATTTGTTTTCCCATCATTACACTAGGTATGGCCAAGTCAAAAGTAAAGCACTAGAAGAAAACCAAGAGAAAAAGGAGATCCAAACAAAATATCAAGGTTGGTTTGTGTTGTATGCTTGTATAATAGTTTACCTGTGCTTGATTTAGGCATATTAATTTAATGACGTGTTCGTAGCAGAGAAACATAACTGTGTAGTTATGCTAGTTTTCACGAAAACGTTTTTTCCTACGTATTGGGATTTCTTTTAGTGGAATCTCCCATTTTTTGAAGACAATAAACAAGTGCCCTCACTACAGATGTAGTCTTCTTGGCACCAAAGATACCATACCTCACACAACCCTAGCTACCTCTATAATGTAGACACCTTTGGAAAGGACTGAGCTACAGTTGAACTTCCATCAAGCAGCCACCTACTACGAAGCCACCCTCTGCTAAGCAGCCAGTAATCAAAGTAATGATGATGATGAAAAAAAAAAACAACAACAATAATAATAGTAATGATAACTAGTAGTATCAAGTCGAGGATAATCAAAAAGCAAAATGTGTCTGCAAAGATCAGTAGAATGTAGAAGGCGATGAGACAGTTAGCCATATTGTATCGGAATGCAGGAAACTTGCTCAAAAGCAATTTATATTGATCTTGGAGGCACGACAAGGTGGAGCAGATGATTCATTGGGACCTTTGTGGAAAGTTGGGTTATGGCAAGAATGAAAGAATCATGAGCCACAAGCAGTGTATCAATCCACTAACAACAAGCTGCGGTGGAACTTCAAATACAGACCGACAACAAGAGTGAACACAACAAGCCTAACATTGTGGTATTGGATAAAATAGAATGCATGTGCTTGATAATTGATGTTGCCTGTCATTTTGACATTCAAGTGAAAGACAAAGAGAAAGACAAAATTAAGAACTACCAAGACCTGAAGCGGAAGTTGAAATGGATCTGGAAATTGCGCAGGGTAACTGTGGTGCCAATCATTATTGGTGCATTCAACTGTCTCGAAAGATCTAAAAAAGTGGCTAGCAGAGACTGGTGTCACATGTCGTTTGGAATCATTGCAGAGAGCGTGCTTACTGGGTACAGCTAGAATCCTTCACAAAGTCGTAGACACCTAAGGTCAGGTAGTGACTTGATGTTTAAGGAAGACTCCAGCAAGCCATCCAGAAGCTGTGTTTAATGCTGATATTAATAATAACAACAATATTTATCCAGGGAGTCCACCTGCCTTAGCGGTTTTCAGTGGGGCCATGCAGTCCTGAAATAATTATCGTAGAATTGAACTATCACTTAAACCTCCATTAAGTGGTCACCCTTTGGAATCTGTATGAAAGTGGTTTGATTTTGATTTTTTTTCGTTGATGTTGCTTGTTTTGTTTTGTGAGAGGGGTTAATCATATAAAACATCTTTTTTGTTTTGCTTTTAGCAATGGAAGAGCTTTGTTCCAAGCAGGATGATATACTTACAACAAAAGATGCAAAAATTAAGGAACTTAAACGTCGCCTGGTGCATCAGAAACAAATTCACCAACAGCAACTTTCTGATCTGGACATTCATCGACAGCAAGAACAATACATTAATTATAACACACAAAAAACTCAAGAAAAGAGTGCAACTAAAAGGACACGTCAAAAACGAGTGTCTTTCAGATAACAAATGCTAAATTATGAAATGCAGTAATAGTCAAGTCTCTCTTAATGCACACCTCACTGAAATGAACACCTAGAGCTGGTCCCTACCTTTTGCAACTCCTTTTAGTTGACTCTCTTTGGGACAGACATCTCTCTAAGATGGACACATGGTGGCTGGTCCTAAAGGTGTCCATCTTAGAGACAGCTGACTGCATCACATACCCTTTTCAATATTGTTATAAGTAGTAGGCTGTGACTGGAGAACAGCCTTTACATTGATTTTATTGCAAAAGAGTGAATTTGATAGAAAATATGCTTTTTTTTAAACTCTACAGCAGATCAGTCAAGATAAACAATTTCATATTAAATATCGATAGAAATAGAAAAGACTATGCATATTTATTAATAAGGGCATAATTGTGTGCTTGTATAAAACGTACATGTACAGGAAATATTCCCCATGAGTGTGTTCATTAAATTATATAACACTGTAAAATATAATCATCTCGTAGACCACTGTAGACAGTGTATATGTTGTAGTTAATTTTATAGGTAATATCTATTTTTCCTTTGTGTCAACTTCATTAGCAGACATTACCATACCCAAAAACAAAAGAAAAACAAGAGTTACCTGGGATAAAAAATTAACTACAACATGTGTATAAAATGGATACTAGTCAATTTCTTGTGTAGATACCGGTATATATTTTTATGTCACTGACAAAAACGTTTTCTTTTCGTTGTCTTTCCTTTTTTTTAAATAATAATTGGTCAGACACGCCTGTGGAGTATACCTCTCTTTGTCTTCACTCGATCTCTCTTTATTTTTCTCTCACTCTGGTCATGCTAATATGTATATCACTAAGCTCCTCTTTACAGAACTAATAGAGAGCTTTATATACGGTATTTCTTAAACAGATGTAGGTGATATAAAGGTAAGTGTTTCCTACAAGGGTTCTGAAATAGCCTGTTTAAGGAAAATAGCACGAAAAGTTTTAGGGAACTTTTTTAAGCCTGAATTCGAAAAATGAATCCCTATTGTACCAGTCATTTTTATTTCTTTTCTAGACATTGTATAAAGTTTTTATATCCGGTTATTGAGCTAGTATAGTTTAAGAAAAACTCCATCGAATGAGCCCAATGCCAAGCTATTAAGAAGGCTAACCTATTTTAGGGCCAAGCACCCAAATGAGCAAAATCGACACTATATACTGTATCTCCGCAATACATATTAGGAGAAAACGGAGTACCCAACCCCAATTCCCCCACGTAAATAACAAACGCAACTCGTTATGTAAGTATATCGCTGCGTTTCAAAGTCATACCAAAAATTGGTAATAAAATAAAGTATTTACGTAAAAATGAAAAAAGGGTCTCTGAGGAAAGTCGGGATTTGAATCGTAACTCAAGGGGGCAAGCTCCTTTTTATCGGAAGTTTTGAGTGGAGCTCGAAATACCTCATTGCGGGGTCTAATGTACTCTAATCGACGGCAGCTTAGGTCAGTTTAAAATTCTCATGATTGTTTCATTTGTCATCTTCGAGTGAAAGGGGAAGTGAAGACGCTCGCATGCGGAAATGTTGCCACCGGAAGTACTATTCAATGGCAAAGCATTTCTGGAATCACCAAGCGGAAGTAGAATTCGACCGGAAGTCAGCCTTAATCCTTGGCGCATGTTTGATGAAGAAGGAAAACGCTGACTCAAAATGACAACAACAATGGCGGTAAAAGTGTTGCGAGAAGTTTATCAAGTGTCCCTTCTTTTTACGAAGTGAACACTGATGTGACTTAACTATTTTTCGCTTTAATTATTTGTTCTCTATATCTGGTACAATTTGGAGAAGCCACGGAGAGAATTGCGTCTTCAGGAAAGTCATGAATCGCCCTGTTACTCGGGTACGTTTGTCGTTCCGTGTAAACTGTAATTGTGTTTGCTTCAGGCAGGGTATTTTTTGCGTTGAATAAGACTGCAGTTAAGTTGAGAGCCTAGCTATTATTTTCTTTTGTGTGTTTATTAGAAAAATGTCAATATCTCCCTTTTTGGTTTCGAGTTACCTTTCAAATTTTGAAGTTATTAAATGCAGGCGTGTATTACGCAAGTTTACATACTGTAGAAGTTGTTAGAACAGGTAATTCACATAATATGTTGAAACCTAGGAGATAATTTGGGGTATTCCTCAACTTCTTTATACATTCATTTTTTCTTTTGAAGTGAAACAATGTGATAAATGTGGTATCATGCTATCAGTTTGATAATTATGAGGATAAATCTATCACCATTCAGTTTGTCATTTTAAAACAGCTGTTGAAAAATATTGATTAAAAGATGCAACACTGACTCAACAGTGGCACATAACTGAATAAAATACACCGTATCATTAAAGTCATGGTCGAATTTTCTCAGTTTTATCTCGATTAGTGTTCTCTCAATCTCTTATCCTTTGTTGAGATACAGTAGCGTTGAGAGATGATGATAACATGGGAAGTCAAATAGTTCAATGCAACATACCCTTTATGCAGTAAAGACATAGTCATGTTTAATGCAGAAAGAGTTTAAAAAGAGACAAGGATAATAGGAGGAGTCAAATGGTGTCAACATACGTAATTCAAGAAAAAATAAATTTTAAGGAAAAATAATGTTAAATGAGTTTTAACCACTCTCAGTCCAAAGGGATGTCTCAGCTCTCTGGAAATCTAAGATGTGGAGACTGTTTTAAGTTTGCGTTTAAAATCATCAATTGAGTTTGCAGATTTAATATCCTTGGGTAAGTTATTCCAAAGTTCCAGAGCAACAGAAAAAGAGAAGTTGCCACATGTGGAGGTTTGACAGTATAATTTTAGGAAAAGTATGGAAGTCCAAATTCTGTGATTAAACCACATAGAATCAGTCGAGGATCCTACAATGTTTTTCTTCAATCTTTTAGGGGCTTAAACGAAAGAAGAGAGCTCCAGCAAATGTACCTGCTTCCTTGGACCAGCCGTCAACTTCGTCTACCTCTTGTGAGGATCAAAATTCTCTTTTGCAAAGTACATGTAGTCCTCCAGATGAAATTTCTCCAATTCAGGTAACAACTTTTTTTTACCTCTTTCTTTGTGTGAGATGTAACTCAGTTTCCCAGTTACCTGATATTTAACAATTATTTTTTGACATCGAGGTGAATAGTGGCTAAATATTTACCGAGCCGCGAAAGTGGCGAGGTAAATATTCCCAAAGCCACTATTCACCGAGATTGAAAAGAATAATTGTTTTAGTATATACACACAAAGTGATCTCAACAAAATCAGAGAGGAAACCATTAAAAAGTACGATTTGATTGACAGATCAAATCATATGTACGTTTAAAAATAGATCTTTGGAGAATTTTCAAACATGGCAATTCACAAGTTTATCATTTCACAAACAACAGCGTAATGGCTTAAATGGATTTGCCAAAAGTTTGAACTGTTTCCTTACCTGAGAAGAAAAGTAGAGCATTGTTGTTTTCTCTGGACTCGCCAAGTTTATAGCCAATAGGGTTTGTTGTGTCGTTCTTCGCATGAAGTGCTGACAAAAATGGCAGCTCTGTTGCTCGAGGTAAGACATTGTCTTCCTGTACCATTCTTTTTCCTGTTTACTTGAAATGTAGTATTTCTGCAAACATTTCCTTTTAAATTTGTTTGTCATAAATAAACTTCGATTTTTGAGCGAAAAATTTTCTTGTTACAAAAAACGCTGAGTTCACGAAATGGCTTCTTCTACGCGAATACAAGGGAGTTGTAAACAATCCATTGAGCACAAAACTCAGCTACAGTAAATTGAAAAACGCTGTATTGAATCCTTCCAAGTCTTTTCTTGCCTTAAAAAAGTCAGCCCTAGGATTTTCTCGACTTTTAAAAGATCGTTCTCTAAAAAAAGTGGGAAAAACACCGAGCTCACACGTTATCCTCTCGCTAGGAGGTGAATATTGTTGAATAGTCCGAGATAGCGAACCAATCAGATTGCTTAAATCACCAAGATCACTAAGTGTGTAAATACTAAACACAATTAGTCAGGGCCTCTGATAGGGTGCGATAAAAAATGAGAAATTGTGCGATATTTTTAGGGTTGATTGTGCGATAAGATTATTATGCGTTAAATTATGCGATTTTTTCAGAGCTAATTAACATTGTTTTACCAGGTTTGAAAAATCATTTAATGTTGTGTAACAGGCAATTTGAATATAAACTAATAATAAAACATCCATTTTAAAACAAAATAGTTAAATTTGTCCAATTATTTTGGCCTGGAAAAGAAAACAAATTGAAAGAAAGAAAAAGGACACTTGTTCGATATTACATTATGCCGTTACACCGCTGACCACACTGCTTGTCTCTGAAATCAAAATGGCCGCCCAGATACTGCGATCAAAGGTTTCAGATGTCTTGCAAGGCTTTATTTAGTGGTAAATCACCTTAAATTAAGATTGGGAAATGTTTGATTTAAGTTAAAATTCTTTGAGGCAGTTTACTTTACTTGAATTTAGCATTTTTTTTATGAATTATGGTATTTTCCTCATATTTGTGTGATCAGATGCAATTTGAGTTCAATTGTGCGAAATCGCACCATCGCGTAATATCAGAGGCCCTGATTAGTGGATAGAAAATTGGACAGTTCTCAGGTGTTTTTTGCTCTATTTTCCTTCTGTTTCCTTCAAAAGTAGCCTGTGGTTATGTTTGCAATAGCTGGGGGACATTTATGGGCCATGTCCTTTATGAAAGCCCTGTTGTGTGTTGGGGGTGTGTGTTGTCATTCTGATTTTGCCTTTGTCCTGTGGTACACATGTTACTCAAATTAATGTTACTTTAAAAAATCAGAAACATAATGAGTAGGGCTCTCTGTAGCTCAGTGGCTAGGCCACTTTACTGGTGTTTGAGGTCTGGCCATAGGTTTGACTCCCACTGAAAATCTAATTTTCCTTTATCCTTTGCCCCTGATGTTATGACCGACTGCTGACTGGCTAGACCAATTTCAACTCTAGTGAGACAAGAGATCCCATATAACTATGGGGCAGTAACAATCTTCTGTGTCTACATGTATGTTACAGGTCAAAAGTGAAAACGTCAGGTGAAAACTTTTTATCCTTGGTTGATTCTCAATTTCCTTTCTTTCCTAGCCTTAATTAACCATGCATCTCTTATGGAGTTGTGAAATTAGGTGGGGGTTGCACTCAGCATTGAGCTTAAAAAGCCTAAAACCCATTTGCACAAATCCCCTCTCTGCAGAAATGTATTCTTTAAGCTGGTCCAAAACAGTCCTCTTTCTTGATGTCTTTCTTTTATGATGCCATTGTTTTTTCTCTTTCATAAGGAGGAAACAGATTGTCTTGTGCCTGTAAACAAAAGAAGTAGGGTGGATGATGTCAATGAAGAGAGTCCTCAAGGAAGCACAACAAGTGAATCAGCAGCTACTGTAAACCCTCCCACAACGCCAGACTCTCAAGAAAATAAAAGAGGAAAAAATGATAATAACATTGAACAGCAGAGTTCTGTAAGAAATGGAACAGACAATGAACCAATTACTATAGAATCACCTGGACCAACAACAAGTCACTCCCTAGATGACGTCATGATTGTTGGTGATGTGCAAGTTGGAAGACCCGAAGTTATAGATTTAGAAAGACTTCCGACTATAAGACAAGGTAATAGCAAAGTTTTTATGGCCAGTAGACCCCTTTTAGGCATCGATACATGCACGTAATTTTCTTTGCCCTTTTGTTCTTCTTGTATGTGAGATAGGTCCACTTTTAATAGGAACAAAAATTATTAATAATGGATGGTATAACAACTAATGTCTCTCTTGTGGACTTATTTACCCTCGGCATTATTTATAGCACTAATGCTGGTGGAGCCAAGCAAATGCCTGAAACAAATAATTTAAATCAAACTTAACAGGGTTAAGAATCCGAACTAGCCTGAGGCAAACCTGTTGACTATTTGCAAGCGTGGTGCCCGAGGATTTGTACTCATGACTTCCAGCAAGCAGTAGCCTTGAGGGCCCCCGCTTCCTAATTGCAAGTCAAGCACTTAAACCGCTCAGCCACGCTGCCTCCTGTTACAAGTTTGGAAATACATGTAGACAAATATATGTTGTAACAGCTGTCCACACTTGAACAATATCATTTTTATCTGTTTACAAAGTGAGTAAGTTAGTTTAATAATTCAAACATAATATTGTGTCAATTTGGCTTTTGCATCTGTCATGGTATTTTAGGTGGGTCAGTAGTGGTTGATCTTACCAATGATGCCAGCTTTCATGACAGCAATGTGGTGGATTTAACAAGAGAAACTCCGTCTGATTCTTCAGTTGACTCCAACCCTGTCATAGTGGTACTGTATGACTTTTTTAAACATACTGTTTTATGGCAATTTTTTGTTTACAGTATTTTTGTTACAAACCGCTGGTCAAAATTCCAATAAATTTCAATGATTGTATTGCTAAAGATCACCATCTTGGACAAAAATAGTTGGGACACTTTTACCAATTTAGGCTGTTTTTTTACTTCTGGCCCATCTTCAATGTTGTTTATCGCAGTTAACTCACCAACTGTGCCAGGCCGGCGAAAAGGCTTCAATGCACCTGTTCCATTCAACTTTAATCTTTCTGTAGATTTTACTTATCTTTGTCCAGCATTTCTTCCATGCCAGACAGGAAAGATACCCCAAACCTGTTGCTTCAAGATTTAATCGGCCCCATTAAATATGAAGAAAAGTTGTTCCTGGTAGAAGGGTCATCTGCCTACCCGGGCCAGGTAGCAGGTCATTTTGTCCAAAGGTTGATTCACCGGATGGTAGTTCACCCAGCCGAAGTCGATTTGCCCGAAGCGTATTTGTGGTTCTCTAAGCCTGAAAAAAGGAATAAGCATAGAAAGACAGTGACTGCACATGCAGAATCCAAGGTTAACTAAAATAACATCTCAGAGAAGTAGGTTCACCATGTTGTAGAGTGTTGTATGTCATCGGATGAAATCGACTTTTGGGCGAAAAGACCGCAATTCTGTATTCCCTGAATGAGCCAATTTTCATCCATTTCCTCACAAAACATGGCGAACTATTTACATGAGAAACAAAGTTGGCTTGACTAGGATGGTGACATGCCTAGCCGGTTCATCCTGTTGTGATGGTAGGGACACCCTCCTAGCGAACCAACTTTTTGTTTCTTTATTTATAAACAGTTTGGTTCGGCCATCCTAGTCAAATTGTTCAGGGTGAGACAATCAGAGGGCGCTTTCCAAAAGTCTGTACTGGCCGGCCAGACCAATGCCAGACCAGGCATTTTGGCAGTGAAATATGTTTTTTCCAAGAGGTTTTGCTGAAAAACCATCTCCTCTGTGCATAATATTTAGGATTTGACTGATCTGGATGGTTAGCTTTGATTAAAAGTGAAATTCTCATTACAATGGGAATAGGCTGGCCGGTCAGTTCTGACAAATGGAAAGCACCCAGAGCATGCGTGAGCACTGTTTGCTTTGGGTTTTTTTATATACAAAATGCTCGCTAAAGTTGACTCTGCTGGGATGGCGACTCTTCTGCCCAGGACAGGTTTTCTCCATACAAAGGGGGCCTTCGTATTTTATCAAGATGATGACTTAAAGTGTTTCTCTCAAAATTGTCAAATGCTTGCATTTAAAGCTATGTTTTTAAAGTCATGAATTGTAACCTTTTTCTCGCAGTGTGTAAATAGAATATACCGTGGGGATCCAGTTAGTCAGCGGCCGTCTTGCCGGTTTGCATCGTTGCCTAGTATGCTAGAAAGATCCTTTCCTGTTTCAAGTCCCGATGATGAAATACTAGAGGTCACTGACGCTGATATTAGAAGAAAACAAATGTCAAGTTTAGATACTTCAAGTGGTGAAGGTGCAGAACCAGATACAGCGGCAAAGAGAAATATAACGTGTCCTATTTGTATGGATGATGAATCCACTGTGAGTATTTTAGGAAGCTTCTTAGCAAGAGTAAAACGAACTACGAAAATGTGCAGCTTGTTTTGCAAAATTTCTGCCAAACGACTTAAAAGCAATGTTGCACGTTTTGCCTCTTACATTCAAACCTCTCTCGCAACAAATCAACTTGTTGCAAGTTGTGTGAATACTGACTTCTGATTGGATAAAATTAAGCGGGAGTCGCGCCATACGCGGGAGTTATGTAACTTGTTGCAAAACAAGTTTGTCTTGGGCCGGTAATACGTGCAACATCTACAGATTTTGCTGTAAAAAGTAAAACTAGTCTCTACTTTCTGCAACAACTTTTCGCACCTTGCAACAACCCGATTTGTGGCAAGATGGTCTTGCCCTCCTAGTTCTCAATTAAACTTAAAATTTGGTCTTTTCTCTTCGTAGTTGTGGTGGGACGGCAAAGAAATTTACTAAAAAGCGTGATCGTTTGTTTTATTCGTTAAGACTTCGTTCATTGTACACGGCGCCGGACAAGTTTTCTACTGGATGAAAACTCTTGAGTTCAGTTTTTCCGCCCGTGACACAGAACCGCCTTAACCGTACGAAATTTAGACCTTTAGCCGTTTAAAGATCCGCGTGAACACGAGCAAAATAAATATTGAACTGCCCGTGTGAATGAAGTGTCCGGTCAAATTTTTTGCCGTGTGAACGTAACCTAAGGCCCTGTCCACACGTATCGGGACATCCTTTTCATTTTGGAATTGGTCAGTTCTGCATCACACCCCTGTCACCTCCCCCATAACAGCTTTTTACCTTTTTCTTTTTTGGACGATTTCAGAATTTTTCTTTGTAGTGGGCTGTGGGCAATCAAAAGATTATGGCTGACTATCTAAAAGTGATAATAGAGAGGTTAAGCGTCACGTTCACGTCAAACGGCAAATGCGAATTTGTACCACATGACCAAGTTTCCTCTTTACTTGTCGTTTTCTGTTCATTATTTGTACGCCTAAATTAGAAGTTTCACGCAATTTTTCGTCCTTAAGAATTGTTTTGAGCTGTTTTTATCGGCTCATTTTCTATTTTGAGAAATTCTCAACTTAAATCTGACGTTTGCCGTTTGCCGTGAAGCTTTTAAAACTCGTTATTATTTATTAAATCCTGACAGTTTCTATATAGTAATATGTTAGCAGTTAGATGTCTACCAACCGCCGTAATTTCGTTTGTGATTTGTCATAAATGCCCGGCAGCGTGTATGAAAAGTATGTGTATTTTTACTGAATCTTTTCACTCCGAACAAGGGCTCAAAGTAAGATTAAGCGAAATTTTCACATTTTATTTGTATAATGCTGAAAAAACAAATACTGCTGTTTGAAAGTACTGCTAAAGAGGTTTTATTTTATTCGGGTCACACCATAGAATTTCAGACATCCACAGACTCAAAAGGTAGAACTGGATACTAAATAAATAGTAGCATGTGAAAGTACTGCTATAGAGGTTTCATGTGAATGGTCACGCCATAAGATGTTGTCCACTGACTCAAAAGTTAGAACCACCTCACAGGACTATTTTGTTTTTAGTTATTTTAAGTCAAGGGGCCTTTTATGTTCTCTTGATTAAGTACATGTTCTCTTGGTACATTATAGGATGTCGTTTTGCCTCTCGATATTTCAACACGAAAAGATTGAACCAAACTGTCCTTTCTTTTTCAGATCAAGAGAAGGAAAAGGCAGTTAACGTCAACAACATGTGGTCATGTTTTCTGCGATAAATGCATACGGAGTGCGGTTCAGATGCAAAGCAAATGTCCGACATGCAGGAAAAAACTCTCTTTGAAACAGTTACATCCAATATTTCTTTAAATTATTTGTTCAGAACTACTTTTGTGGTATTTTGTCTCGACTGACTGATGAAATTATCTTTTGTCAGTTCAGAAGAAAAACCTTTAGTGGTTGAGTTAGTTTTTGAAATCAAGATGGTCTTGTCTTGTGACCCATTGGTACAACTAATTATAATGTAATTAAGGCTAAACGATGTTCTGCGAAGCAAATACAATTGATGCCAGCAACAATTAATGACAGGCTGGTGATAATTTATAGCTCAATATAAATAGTCATAACTAACTTTATGCTTACAATTTTCAGTCGGAATACTGTCAGGGAAGTTCTTCAGTATTGGCCTGTTTACCGAAGGTTTCGATATCATTTTGGGGCAGTAGATATATCTTAAAATCAAAATCTCATGAGTAGTAGTGCATGTTTTGACCAAAACCATCCTAAATCAGTTTACCCTGCGTGCAGATGTTTCTCCCAGTCTTGCATGGCTTTTAGCGTTGACGAAGTCGTTGGCAGTCACATAGTTGGTTTGTTTTATACGTCCCGTCGTCAACGCAAAAGCCATACAGGAGAGAACCCTTGTGCTCGCAGGGTAAAATGATTTAAGTCGTTAACTACGTTAAAAACTTGACTCACTCCTTCCCTTCCCGTAAATAAATATAATAATATAATGTTAGGCATTATACATGTTGCACAGGGTATCGGGCCTTTTTCCCCTCTTTGCTTTTTTCAGTGGACTCGACATTGTTTTGATATTAAAGCCCGGTATTGACACTTCAACTATGAGAAATGTTCCGTTAATGTTTTTAAGTCAACTTTGCAAACAAAATTTTTCTTAACCCTGTCACTAAATTACAGCGTCAAGAGTCTGCAATACATATTGGGGACAAAGTGTTCCAGGTTTTGTGACTGTAAACGAAATCCAGTAATGTTACCAATGAGATTAAACCTCTTCAGCACCTTTTTTTTCATGGTACTCTTCGTTTTTCCGTTTTCTTATAAAAACCCCAAACAGATTTTCGGAGTATTTGGAAGCATGAGTATTGACGCTCTTTAAAGCGCTCCCTTGGCGGGAAGGAGGGGCGGGGGGGGGGGGGGGGGGGGGTTGTGGGGCGTTTACTCAAGAGTTGAGGTGGGGGGGTAGAAAGAGTTGGGGCAAAAAAAAAAACAGAAAAAAAACCCATCGGCTTCCGAACAAAACCTAGAAAAACCCCGGTCGAAAAAATAAATACCCCACAACAAGTGTTATTTTGTTTTTGTTAAGACTTGTTCTATGTTTTTTTCTTTGTTGTTTTTCTCTTTTTGGTTCTTTTTTGTTGTGTGTTTTTTTTGTTTTTTGTTTTTTTTTAAAAGTCCACAGAGTGGTGTGGGGGGGTTGGGGGGGGGGGGGGTGGGGGGGGGTGGGGGGGGGGGCGGGGGGGGGGGGGGGGGGGGGGGGGGGGGGGGGGGGGGGGGCTGTTGGGCGCTTACTCCAGAATTCAAGTGAGGGGGAAGATAGAATTGGGGCAGAAAACAACACCGAAAAAAAATCCCCAGGGCTTCCAACAAAACCCAGAAAAACCCCTGGACCAAAAATCAATCCCACCAAAAATCCAGCAGCTGCAAAACAAGTTTGGTTGTATTTTATTCGCAGAACTAAGCAGCAAGGATACGCTAGCACTACCACGAATCTTCAGATTATTTTGAATACCCCAAAAAATCCTTACTTAAATCAAGCCACCCCAAAAAAATACTTGCTAAATTTTCCTACCCAAAGAGATATTCTCTAATGGAAGTTGAAATTATACGGTATTGACGGTATCTCACATAGCTGGTCAGCCTTAGATCTCACTTAGAAAACAACGATGTTTTGTGAATGGTTCACTCTCCTATTGTCGACCTACAAATTGCGTTGTTCCCCAGGGAATAATACTGGGTCGACTCCTATTCTTAATTTATATAAATGATTTACCCAATTGTTCACTGAATTCTTAACCACGAATGCACGCTGCTGATAAGCACCTAACCTTTGCTGCTTATACAGTTTCGAACATTGACAGAAATCTAAATGAAGACCTATCTAGAGTTAACAATTGGCATACTTAGTAAGCTAACCCTTAATGCACCCAAAACTGAGTGTATGTTTATGTTGATTGGATCAAGACTAAGCTCATTTGGTAGTTCCCCCTCGTTTATAATCGATGGAGCACCTGTTTGTCATGCGACTTCTACTAAATCGCTCTGTGTTTACAATGATCAAAATCTATCCTGGGATGTTCATGTCGACAAGTTGTGTAAAAACATTGCTGCCGGGATGGGCCGGCCACAATTCGATTACTGATGCGGGATTTGGGGTTGCTGTAACAAAACACTTTCTATCAATTTCAGGAACTCTAAGGTCGAGAGGCACGGATTCTATTCTGTAACCCCTTGTAACCTTCTGTAACTCCTTGTAACTTCCTTTAGCCCCTTGTATCTCCCTGAAACCCAATGTAACCCCCTGTATGTAACCCCGTGTAACTTCTTGTAAGTTAAGGGGTTAAGAGGGATTACAGGGGGTTAGAAGATGTTATGGGGGACTACGAGAGGTTGCAATACTTAGAGGTTAGAGACGAACGAAAGGAAATTTCTCTCTTTCCTCCGCGTGTCACAGCCCCCTACTCGTCCGTATGATCGTCGAGATCTAGCGCTTATCGTTACGAGTGGCTATCTTTGTGTAGAATGTACTAAGGGGTGAAGGGGAGCGGGTGGAAGAGAGGCGAGAAAATAGAGCGTCTTCACATGACGCCACGTCCGCAATATTCGTGTTCCAAACCAATCCTTTCTTGAGTGAGAAGGCTCTTTACTACCCCTGAGGAAAAAGAGGAGCAACTCGTAGTCTGTCAAACAAGAACTATGCTACGAAAGTCAAGTAACAAAGCAAACGTGTACGTATAAATTGAAGTTTATTTACATCAACAGCTTGCAGAATACTCTTTAATTTCAAATCTGATCCTCATGCAAAAATAAATATAATACATTAAACTTGAGAAAAATCACGCATTTTAAGTTCCCAAAAACTGTACAAAAATAGGCTTTTCTACAAAAATATTACCAAAGCTCTCTTGAAAAATATCTTATACATGCGGTCACAAGCCCTGAAAAAATCTCAGGCGATAAACTTCCAAACGTAACAAAGCGATAGAGGAAGGGGAGGGAAACTGATCAAAATTTCTTTTCAATTAGATAAAAAGCAGCGCAAGTGAATCATCTACTAGTTCGTTAAGAAGGATGTACCTGAGTGATATTTTGATAGACCCTTCACGGCCAGTTAGGGAAAATCCGTCGACACCATTGGAAAGAGCGCCTTAATATTAGTAAAACTGCCTAATTTGAAAGTGATACGTCTTCAGCGAGAGAGGATATAGTTTCGCAAAGTTGTGAAAATTCACAGACGTTTGTATTGTGGGGAGCAAGTTTGTGCCCTCCACCATTTAAACGTCTGTAAAATGTCGCGCTTTGAGCCGCTTTATCTTCGTTATTTTCAGCAAATCACTTTTTAACTTGGCAATTCTCTACTAAGTTTAAGACGTTCTCTCCAGTGGTGTCGACGGAGCTTCCCTAAGTTGTCCAAGTCGAAAGTGGAAAGGTCTATTGTAAAGTGCAGTTAGGCTGGTCTTCGGTCGCAATCCAAACAAGAAAGGCAAGCAGAATACTTCACAGACAATACTTACTTTTACGAGTCACTGTATTGTCTGTGACTCTTAGCCAGAGAAAAATGGTCATCCTGGTTTGCATTTGGTTTTTAAGGAAAAAACATACGCAATTTCGCATGCCAAGTCTGACAAATCAATAGTGTCATAAAAATGAAAGACTTGTGTTCAAAAAGGAACATGGAATTCGTGTATTCGAGCTACAATTTCAACGGCTGCATTTGATTGGATTAAAAAACACACAACTCTCGCGTATGAAAAACAGCCTCCTCTTGTTTTGCTAGACCAGCCTAAAGTTGATCAACGAGTTAACCTAATCAGATATTTAAGTTAATAAATACTTAACAACTTAGAAACAATCTCTCTATCATCTCTATCTTTTAAAATATTCAATCTATCGGTATGCACGTTTCACATTTGAAATATTTCCCTCATCTTATGATATGCCTCGAATATTTCACAAATGGAACTAAGTGACGAAATGCTATTTACAAACAATTTACAAAGCCAAAAACCTCGAACGTATGAAGAAGACTTGCAACAAAAAGCCTTGAAAAGATATAATAAGAAATACGACGTTTTGTCTGAATGCGATTTTAGTCGAAAGTCTGTGTAACCTCAATGCAGTAATGCAAGGAATAATCTTAAAGTTGATTTAGTACCTCTCTGGGAGGGAATGAGTTTTTTACGCTATAAAACATAAATATTTTCACACACCTTCAATACTGACGCTTTTCATCTTAAAGAAGTCCGCTTTAATCTTGCGAATGACTAGCCTGAGAAAACAGCCGACATTTGGCGACGCTACCATTGGTTTCCCCGCCAAATGACGTCTGAGAAACGAGCGCAGAAATTCCATACTGATGACGCGTCACTACCCAGACCTGGGTAGTACACGTCGTCAGTAAGGAATTTCTGCGCTCGTTTTTCAGGCATCATTTGGCGGGGAAACCAGCGGTAGCGTCGCCAAATGTCGGCTGTTTTCTCAGGCTAACGAATTACTACAAAAAAACTTTAGAAATATAAAAGATTTTCCTCTAAACTCTCCCAACAGCTCAATTAATTTAACCAATAAATACTATATATCAGAACTGCGACACTGACTTGTAATGTCAAAACTGTTATCTATGAGGGCTTGTTATATCTAAAGATCGTCAGACCAGCTGACTACGATGGGGGAGGGGTGGGTGCTAATACCGAGAGGTTTACAATGTTAGAAAACTGCGCTAGTGCCCTGCACCTGCCAATTTCCTTAGAAGCAAACAGAATGAAACGCAGGGAGGTTAATGGTATGGGTAAAAAGACTTATGCTACAATCAAATCCATGTAAATGTAAGTTATAACAGAACATCCGTTTTCAGGATTGACGTTCTGTCAACTGTGCCTTATTCGCGCCCACCTCTTGGGTGACGTAATTGACACATTTCAATTCTGGTTTCAGATGTTACTGTTCAAATAAGCCTGTTTAAATAGGCCAGTACAAAATAGTAATAGCCTACGCCACAGACAGAACTAAACTTATGGTTTAGTCTGTCTGCTAAACAGCGCCGAAATCCTTGCTCTGGGCTCCCAGTTGTGTACTAGGATTTGAGTACCCGCCATGATTGGCCTGTTAAAAAAGGCATTGTAAATTTGTCAATAAGATGGATGGGAAATTTTCAACGTACTTCCGGTAATTCGTTTTGTCCGTTCGGGTCCCAGAACAGGAACATCGGCGCTGCTTCGCAGACGTCACTAACCGGGGTTAGATTACGCCTGAGACACAGGCTAATACAGCATCAGTGCAGTGGCGGATCCAGGCCCCCGCTTATTTTTAGGGGCCGAGAACATTTTTTGGCAACCGCCCCCTCCCCCTTTATCTAAGGGTCTGGATGACCCCCCCCCCCGCCTTATCTCAAGGTCTGGATCCAGCACTGCAGTGAACAGAGATTAGCTGTAGGTCAATTCTTTAAGTGAAGGAGTACAAATACGGTGTCCCATCTGGTGTTCTTGCGTTTGACGTGCAGGGGTACGACGATCCCATCAAAAGGTGTGGGTGAATGTGTAGCTGATCATCAGTTCCTGTAATTAGAGGAGCGCCACCCATTGGAGGCAAGCCTAAGTGGTAAGGGGGACTAAAGATCTGGGCTGTTGGAATGAAGATCCTTGATGCAGTGCACATGTGACTCGCTAGAGTGTCTTGTGGTGATGGCAGATGAGGTGGACGTGATGAGAAGTAAAGATCAGGATGATCAGCTGCTATCATGGTTGGGCTCCATCTTCCAGGGTAGAGTGTCATGCCAGGGAAAGGCACATCCTCCTCGTAGTGTTCTTTCTTTGGCTTTGGAGGAGGAGGCAACGACGAGATGTCATGTTTTCTACTCGCTGACAGCAAACAGGAGCAGTCT